TGCATCTGCATATTACAAAAAAAGAGGGAAAGAAAGATTGTAGAAAGCCAGTATATCTGTGCGATTAGATCAGTACCCCCGTTCGCACTTTATACGCATATATTTTTTTTTCTTTCAATCTGTTCACCATAAAATGTGGGACAGTCGATAAGGCTAGCCAGGAAAGCTTAGTGGCTGACGGCGCTTTGCGCTACACTGCATTTACCACGTAAAATTGTAAGAGCTCAGCAGAAAGCTTTCATCGATGGATTACGTGCATGACAGTGCTACAACAAAGGCCTGGTTTTTGTGACAGGCATGTTTTTTTTTTTCAGACAAAAAATTACCACAGCCTTTCTTCGGTCACTAACAATGCCACACAAATGCTGAATGCAATGCAAAAAAACAACAAAACTTTCAGTGAAATCGTACAACATTATATATAAGACATGCCGTCTGAATTAATTTTCAACGTCTCGGCTCTTTAAAGCGTTTTTAAATCGAAGCACACGGTTGCACATGGTCACTCGGTCAGAAGTACAGTTCAAGTACTGATGTGTCACAGTTTATGTGATAGTAACATTTCTATGTAGTGGTACCACGGCAAGATAAACACGACTAAGGCTCCTCGCATGACCGATAAACTACGTACAGCTACCAACAGTGCGCAAATGAATGACTTAGAGCCTTGTCTTTTTTCTTTACAGCCGAGTCGCTATAAAACACAGTATAAGACGCTGGGAGGATGCAAGAGCACTTTGTGATGTTCTTGAAACAAAGCGGCACCTATTCTGAAATATATCTGTTGAATGGAGGGTACGATGACAATAAACAGCACTCTGGAAAGGTGCACTCGCCGATCTATTACAATGCATTAGCAGCCGAGCAAGACTAAACGCTTTCGTACGTCGTTTAAGGCATACGTAGAAACAGTTACACTCGCGCTTACATGACATAGAAACATGACGTGGCTAGCAGACAACGCACGGAGTAATCCACACTTAACCACTTCCGCCAGTTGCCGCCAGGAGGCGACTCTGCTCGATCTTGCGGCTAATAATGCTTTGCAGCCACTGTAGGTGGCGCACGCCAATTTCTGGAAAGGTCTGTTGAGAAATCCAATTAGTCTCAATTAGCCCAGTTTGTGTGACCCATTATTCAATAGGTTTCAATGGGATGCTCTGAAGTGTCCACTTAGAATGCTAGCCCATTGGCTCTTTTTTAATTGGCCCACAAACACAGTAAGAAAAAGTAACTTGGTCCAACTGGCCATACCAATAGGCCCCAATAGGATGAATGAGCCCAATTGGAACTAGTTGGTTCAGGTCGATCGAGTGACTAATCGAGAGCTTCACAATAAAATACATAAATGGAAATGGGCTAAGGACCTTTTACACCAGATATGGTTTTAATAGGAATTCCACCAATAGATTATAAGTGGACTTTACTGATAGCCAATTGGCTTTAATTGGGCATCCCAGAAATGAGTTGAGCTGTAAAACAAGAAAATAGTTCATAGAAACATGTTTGCAATTACATCATTGCTTCTTAAATAAAATATTTTTATGTTTTAATATAGTCTACAAGGTGTCATTTATTTCAGCTTTTCACTTTACAGCCGGTCATAATAATTACCCAATTGTTCTTGGGACATGGCACAGCTTTACTAGGCTGACATTACTGATATGTTCAGCAACGTTAAGTTGAGAGACATGAACATAAGATATGTAGAGAAATTTTTCATTTCACAGTAGCCTTCACTAATGCTAAGTTCATGCAATCCAACAATATGGTTTCTTAATTTTGATGCATCTCTAATGAGATTAACAAGTTAGACCCTTCGTGTTTCCAATTGAAGAAATTGACCTGACCAATCAACCCTAATTGGCCAAACAATTTGGAATACATTTATGCTACCAATTGAGTTGGTTAGACCCATCAACACAATTGAAAAATCCAAGTTTCCAATGGGTGAACAGGGTTCACTTGCTAGTCCAATTGGTCAGTTCATTTGGATATTCATTGTGCTACCAATTGATTACCTTGGTAAATCAAGCGAGATGACCAAATGAACCCATTGGAATTTCCCCACTGGTGTCACAGAACACAATTGAAAATTTGCAATTGGTCTGCGTATATTTTTTTGGCTAGGTGCCGAACAACAGCTAGGCGTGCTGCACCAGGGCATGTCGGTAATCCCCGCTTACGTTTCACGATATATATATAAATACATATGCCTGATGATCACTGCAAAGCGCTCGCACATTTGCGGAATGCGTGAGACCTGAGAATGCATGCTTCATTAACGCATGAGCGCCAACAAAGCAGCAAAAAACACAACAGCGACAAAACCTGGCCACCTCTCGAAGCTTATAGTTCGCAAACTAAATATAATCTGGAAACATTATCTTAAATCAAAACTGTTCGGTAATAATGAGGTGTCTGTAATTATCTGTCATGCACGGCAGCACACGATGTGCCATGCTATGAAGAACATGCTGCTAGCAACACATTGAAAAAAAAAAAAAAAAGAAAAACGTGAGGTCAGGAATTTCAAGTCAGTACCCTTTTAAAACCTTGACTATTTTTGAAAAACACCTATTTTATTTACTTCGGTAAAAAAACTACCCTCTATCAGAAATTACGAGGGGGGGGGGGGGGGTGAAGAGCGAGCCTCTACGGCACACCCCTTGGCAACCGGCCGGGCCCTCTCTTCAGCCTCCGAGCTACGGATTGTGCCTTGTTAGTGAATCAAGCAAACATGTGTACCTCTAACAGCACGTATAGTTTCGTGCCCTTGACCTAACTTTTGAAGATCAAGTGATGCCGTTAACCTGGGCGACAGATGCTACCAGTGAGGCATGCTATTATTAGCTTCCACCTACCTAGCCATTGGTATGTAGGCACTCTGTGCTTTCAGCTGTGGCCCTGGTGACGGTGCATGGTGTTTTTTGGGGCCCTTACATTGTATATAAGAAAAGGAAAGAAGGCAACCATGCGTTGTTCCTTTCGCAACCCTTCCGCCACCTTGCGGGTTTCTGCACAACTCAAGTGCAGTATGTATAACAGCAAACATTGGTACTAGAACACAAGAGCTGATTTCGCATCGTATTGTCCGCTTCTACCGTGGACTTCGTAACAGCTCTTGCATGAAATTATAGCAAGTGAATATCTATGAACAGGTAGAACTATAGCCTGGGCTCCCTGCATGGCAGTCGAGTATTCTACCACAGAGCCCACTGCCGATCGAAATTTTTTCACAAAAATGTCCAGTATGGTTGTCATGTCGGGCAAGTAATTATGTTAACATAGATAGGGCCGTAGAAGAGCATAAAATAGTAACCATGCAGGGGTCACATGCTGCGAATTACGTATCCAGTGGTTCGTTGATAGCTTCCTACTGATTGCAGAAGGCTTAGCCATAATTCATCAGCCAACCGCCAGCATTGTCTACACTTGGTGTCAGCTTCCTCTGCATTAACCTCTGCACATTACTCGGGGACTACTTTCTGTGGCAATGAAAAGAAGGCTACGGAGCCAAAGTGGCCGTGTGCCACCAGTGTAGTATATAATGCCACAAATGTGTCCACGTTCTCAGTGTGAAAATAATAAAAAAGAACATAATTTTCTACTGGATACTGTTCTTAAAAAGATGCAGCACGTGTTAAGGAGGTATTCAAATTTGTTGTTACTCTTGTCTAAAAACGTCGCACACTTTACTTGTCCCTGACAGTCAAAATGGAGTCTTCATCTTTAGGTGAGTGTGCTTCGCCCTACAGCGATTCAGACCACTCACCAAAGGAGCTTGTGTCAAATTTCGCTCTCCAGTGACCGTGTAAGCAGACATACCGAGTTGTGTGCAGTGGTATGCTCGAAACATGCAAAAACCTGTGCAGTCGTTCCAGATTACTTGAACATGGCAGTCATCCAAAACGCAAGCCAAACCTGCCTACTTTCACGTAGGAGTACAGGGGCAGCAGCTGTGTCTCTGTCACTTTCCCTTCATTGTTGCATAGTTTCTCCTTAATTGCCACCCCACATCCTGAACATTAAATTTCTTTTTGAGCATGTCTACACCTGCTCACAAGTATCCACGTAAAGCGATATTGTCCCACTTGATTATTACAGGAGGCGGCGTACTATGAACACTGTCTTAAAAAAAAAATATCTACACTCTCTTACAAAGACTCACGTGGTCGGTGTACGTGCACCCCCAACACGTGGTGGCAGGAAAGACCACACACACAATAAAAATCAAGCAACTGCCTCTCCCCCCACCAGCCATATAATCAAGACATATAACTCAAGACATATAATATAATAAGTGCAATAAAAGTTTACACGACTGTCTTATCAATTAACAAAAACAAGCTCGAAGCATGCAAAAACAATTGCCTGTGCAGTGGTTCCAGAGTACTCATAAAAACCATCCGCAGCACTGCAGAGTTTCTCCAACAAATGCCTGAACCACTCAATGGCCGTTAAGGAGTGCTGTGTAGCAGCGCAACAACTCTATTGAGTCTATAGAGTTCTGGCGTTTCAATGGCCATCGAATGGGTGGCCTTTCACAAGGGCCCGTGTGACGCTAGGTATAAAAATTTATTCTAAGCAGTGTGCAAAGACATAGCAATTCCATGACACGACAGCGTAGTCGGTTTCAAGACGGTCGTGCGCTGCCTTGCATGTCTTCCGTGTCACGATTCTGCGAAAAATTCAGCTGGCGAAGTATCATTCTACGGCACGTCTGATACAGCAGGATGTGTGGACACCGATTTCAGAAATTCACCTTTAATTAACGGTCGAGTCGTATGGCAAGATTTATGGCTGTGGCTTCAAAATCAGTGGCGACATGAACGTGATGGGAAGGACATTAAAAAATAAAATGTTACACTCCTAATGCTCTGCAGGACCCTCTGAAAAAGAGGCCTTGAAATGTTGGGTCAGTCTTCATTATATCTTTAATTTAAACACAGCTACTGATGTTCACCTTTAAACATACCAATATCTGGGCTTTGTTCTGGAAGAAAAAGAAAAAGAAGATTGCTGCTTCTATTTATTTATTTTGTACACTTCAAAGTCGAGATATATTGCTGAATGTACCAACCGTATTTACAGCCTAGCGATGCCGCAGATGGTTTGCCAGACTAGGGAGTATAAGGATCCTTTATAATTAGTTAATACAGTTGGGGGATAAAATTACTCGCCAATTTTTAGGTGTACCTACGACCCGCCAGTATGCTAAGTTGGGGTCCTATCGCTTTTCCAGCTTAGGAGCGTTCTTACATTGCATGAAAATGTTCATGTACTTGCAACGGTTGCCTTTAGAATTTTCATCAAGCACTCCATGCATCGACAGCTGTAGCAGCGTTCTTATTTCCCATGTTTCGCTCTCCTTGCACACTCAACTAGACTTTCTTTTTCTCAGTGTCATCATTCTGCGCATCACTTATTTGTCCTTCCTGCGAGTCTTGCCTTGATGAGAGCAGCTCGGATTTGACGTCATCAATGCTGGTGAGGTCTCGCTGGGCCAAATGAATCGAGTGCACACGGAAGATGCTGAAGTAATGCAGCACTTCGCGCACATCCCGCACGTCGAGGCTGTACTGCACAGCCACTGCCTCTGCCGTGAATGTCCCCGGGTCCATCTTCACATCGGCCAGCATCTGTGTTGCCTGACGCAGCGTCAGCCGTCCCCGTGGTATTGTGGCTGGCTCAAAGTAGCCGTACTTCTGAATCAGTGGCACAGCTCGGCTCTGTGGCAGTGGCCGATCCAATTTAAGAGGTACAGTCCCTTGCACCTAACCGAAGGGAGAAAGAAATGCACTTTAATGAAACGCTGGAAATGTTAGCGGCCTGGCTATTGACCTGGGAAAAAGCTCTATACTTACTTACTGTAACCCCCGGGGTTCAAGTGCATTACATTACAAAGAATACAATATGAATGGCTAGGCATATTGAAAAAAAAAAAGAGAAAGGAAAGCACAAATACAAAGTTACTGATGAAAATAGAAAAACAAAGATTTAAAATAGTAGCGGCGATATACAATAACAATGTTAATAGGAAGGGAAACATTACATGTGCATATATAAACAAGCATACACACAAACAATATATATATATATATATATACATATATATATATATAACCAGTCTTTGTCATCTGGTGAGTTGCCTAAGGACTAGAAGATTGGCCAAGTGGTCCCCAATCCGGTGGCAGGTGCTCACTCCGTAATTATCGACCCATTTCACTAACATGCATACCCTGCTGACTACTTGAATATATTACAGCTTCTCATAATAATGATCACCTTGAATCAAATAACTTCTTTTTCCACAATCAGCGTGGCTTCAGAAAAGGCTACTCAGGTGATGCTCAGTTGTTCGAATTCACCACTGATCTTCACTTCAATACGACCAACAACGATCAAAACGATTGCCTCTTTCTCGATTTCGTCAAATTTTTTGATACTGTCCCTCATTGTCATTAAATCTCTGAATTGTCTTCTCTCTGAATCAATTCATTAACACCGTCCCGAATATGCAACTTCTTGTCATCCAGTCAGTAATTTACGGTGGTTAACGGCACTTCATCTAACATTTGCGATGTCATGTCTGGTGCTCCCCAGGGCAGTGTACTGGGTACATTACTCTTTTCAATATACATTACCGACTAGTACGATTACTTTTAATCCTCAGTTAGGTTGTTCACGAATGATTGTGTCATCTACCGCGATATTCAATCTACTGATGATCATTCCGCTCTCCAAAATGACCTTAACTTAACCCACAGGTGGTGCGAAGCTAGGCAGAAGTCCCTTAACGACCCCAAATACAAGTTAATCTCGTTCACTAGAAGGCCTACTAACTCATTCTTTCTCTATACTATTGATAATACCGTTGTTTCAGCCACACTGTTGTACAATACCTCGGTGTTCACCTTCCTTCAGACTTATCTTGGAATACGCACGTAGCAGCTATCCCTTGAAAAGCTTCCCAGTCTCTTGGATATCTGCACAGGAATTTACGCAATATCCCTTTTAATGTATGTGCATTATCATATCTAACCTATGTTTGTCCACAATTAGTATATCCATCAACCACATGCTCACCGCATCAAGATTACCTAGTCTGTACACAGGAAGCCATCCAAAATAGGGCAGCGAGATTCATAGCTTGTAACTACGACTATCATTCAAGTCACTGGATCAACGCCGCATCATTATCCTTTTATGTTTATTTAATGGGTACATCTACAGTAACGAATGCCACTGTTTGCCTCTTCATGTCCCTTTGCGCACATCTCGACGCATTCACAACGTACTTAGTTGAATGCACATTCATAGTCACACACTGGAATTTAACTCATCACTAGAGACCGAATTATACGCAAATGCCTATTTTGTTCCTTGCGTTCTTATCATGCTACTTTAATATATGAGCTATTTTAATATATATTAATTAGAGGTTCAGAAGGGCTTTTATGGAGTTTTTATAGTGCCTATAAATGACTATTTTGAGTGTTCGTGCATAAATGCCTATAGGTACTTTTAATTGCCTAGTTTCCAAATGAGTGCCTATATGAGCGCTATTCAAGCCCAAATTTTGTTTTCGAGCGTGGTGTGAAACCGTTATTCATGTAAAATAAGGCAACATTGATATTTCTAAACTAAAAAATTCAACGAAGACAAAGCTAACATACTGCGAGAAATCGGAAGAGCATAAGGAGTGCTAAAGATGCTATTTCTGCAGCCCTAAGTTGAAGACTGTTTGAGCGTCTGCAGGGGAAGGAGGAGAGAAAATTAAAGATGGGGTAATAAACTAAAGCGACGTCTATGGCCGAGGATGTGGCGACAGCATTCTACAAATAGCTGTCCAGTGCCCTGAAGGCACTGAAGAACCCCCCTGAAAACCTGGTTGTTAGGTTGAGAAAGAAAGAGCAGGTTTTTCTGGGCAGCCGCGGGTAGCTGGAGAACGAACGAAAAACCATAGGAGGACCACTCATAGAATGCTCTTGTTGATTCAGTGGTGGCAAAGGTCACCAAATTGTTATACATTATACAGTGAAGCCTGAGACAGGCACCAGCATGTTTACAATCAACGGTGTATATAGCATGCATTCACCATATGCTTAAATACGTTTGTTGTGTATGAGATTCCTTGTCATATGTCCTTAAGTGACAAACAGGAAAAAAATACAGAACAGGGCTTCAAGGTTTGTCCTAAGCCACCACTCCAAAATGACAGCTGTAATAATATGAAAATGAACTAAGATGGGAATTACTATCATAGCATCAAATTAAACTGCGGTTAAAGCTCATATGTCAAGCATTTCATGATAAAACTCGCATTCGAAAATGGATGTACCTAAGCAGTCCTCTTCGCACAATGGTAATTAAGATTTTAGAATGTCGTATCAGATATAATTTTTTTTTTGTTAGTTTCATGACAGAACAAAATGGCTTATGAAAAGAACAAAGCATGTTATGTCAATGAAGGCGTGTTTTATTTAACATTGTAACCCATCTGCTGCAGCGCCTTCGGGTAAAAAATGTGATGTGTACGCAGCTTTTGTTCTGTTTGTAATATAATTTTTAAGTGCGCCTCTCTAGCTGACATAAGAAGTTGTAGTTAGACACTAGAAGTTCTCCTGCCCATGAAAAGCGTTCTACTACGGTGATTTTTCAAATTCGTTCACTACGAGCCACTAAAGAACGAGGCGAAAAAGCAAACTTGAATCCCTTGCTTCTCATCCCATGTAGCCATCGTGAGCATCATTCCTTTCCTGTTTTCTTCGGTATTGGGGTCGGAGAATCACATGACGCATACGCACCAAGAACAACATGCGTAAGCAAGGTCATGCGCGCATGTAGGCCCCAGCCTACTTGTGCACGTACGCCATCGATGTTGTGTCGTTTCGACGAGAAGACGATGAGAACGACGAGAAGCCCAATGCAAGTGAAATGGGGTGGTGGTAGTAGTAGTAGTAGTATGTGTGGTTTTACGTAAAAGAACCACGATATAAATATGAGGAATGCTGTAGTAGAGGTCTCCGCAAGTTTCGACCATCTGATGTTCTTTAACGTGCACTGACATCCCGCAGTACATGGGCATCTACTTTCTGGCCTCCATCTAGGTGTGACCGCAGCGGCCACCATCGAACCCGTGGCATATGACTCAGAAGCGGAACTCCCTATAGCGACTGGTCTACCGAGGGGGACGTGGAACGAGGGCCGATTAGTGAATAGCATCTCGAGGCCATTCAAATCAAAAATAAAAATAATAACAAGCTCAGATTCTGTTAGCATGTTTTATTATTTTTCTCAGCTTTCATTGATTATACTGATTTTATTATTTTTCTCAGCTTTCATTGATTATACTGATTTTGAAAGGGTATCGCAAGGACACTGGAAAAAGAAAGACACAGAGACAAAGAGCACTGTCTTTCTCTTCTCTTTGTCTTTGCACTTCCCTTTCAAAATGATATGATGCAGCTAGCCCAAACCAAAGCACTCCTCATTGATCCTACGCAACAGAACACATAAGTTGCACATGCCAAGTAGAGTAATGTCACGTGCAAAGCCCTTAATGAGGTATCGTTTAAAATGCAGGATATAATCAGGAGACTGGACATTTTTCATTTGTTTTTCTAGATATAGCTAGCATTTAACGAAGTTCTGATGAAGAGCGTACAGTATGAGGCGTCAGCCCACCAATGTTAACGTAAAGGAGCAGCGTAAAAACAGAATCATTCCTTGTTGTACGTCACTTTATAGATCTTGGGGCACACGCCCACGAGAAGGGCAAGTGGCATTCATTAGATATTGAGCGTTTTTCCGCAACATATAATTTTGCAAATCTTAACAGGAATGATCCGGAGTGCCCAGTGCACCATTACGCTTGTCAGCTCGAAATGTCCAAACCTAGTGAAAGGCCCTTTAAGGTGTTCACCGATAGGGGAGAAATTGATCCTACACCATTAGACCTAGCATCCCTCTCTTCTGGGGTATCAGTGGTCTGGTTGTTTGCTTCTGTGCTGCCCTTCCCAGCCACAACAAAACAAAAGAGACCCAGGAGAGTGTTAATTGATTGGTGGACACTTGATGCACAATGCTAGACAATAAAAGTAAAGACCATATACTGCGAATCAGGCGGGAAATGCATGCCTATGTTTAGTCGCTGGTACCTATATGCTATCTTAAACAGTATCATTTTTCTTGCTTCTTGCCGTAGATACAAGTCACCGATGTATTTGTTATGAGATATTTCAATTTTTGTAGAAATTTATTGTGCCTACAATTATGGTTTTCAGCACCTAAAACAATGTTTTACCTGCCTGTTTACGGCACATAAAACACACTTTTTTAGTGCCTAAAAATTCGGCCTCTATTCATCACGATTACCTCGAGCACATTGAAACAGCCTTCCAGATCACATCGTATCAATCCCTAATCGTGAATTATTTCGTGATAACCTGATTTCGTTACGTTTTTCTACTGTAAAACTTTGTTACACCTTGCTGCTTATAATTTATTTGCTTTCTGTTTGTTTTCTTGTTCTTTTTTACTTCTGTTTGTATTTTTTTTTGCAATGTATATACTGATGCCTCCCTTACTCAATGCCCTTTAATGTTCCTGTAAGGCATTTTGAATAAACAAGCAAATATGTGATGACTAGATGTGGCATGCCCTAGCTCATACACCATGAATTTAATCCATTCCAACTTCTTCCTCAGCTTCTACCAACCATCGCTACCTTTTTACGTACTAGAATTCTGCTCCCCCCCCCCCCCCCCAAAGT